TCCATGGATAAATAACGGGATGTAATAATGACCCTTCTGGATCCCACGGGGATCCCCCAGTTCAAACCAGTTCCTCCCAGTCCCTACTGGTGCGGGAGGAAAGCCGGGACAATAAACGGGGGGCGGCGGATCCCGAAAATCACCAAATCCATGGATAAATAACGGGATATAATAATGACCCTGCCAAGAGCCACCAGATCCCACCGGGATCTCCCAGTTCAAACCAGTCCCTCCCAGTTCCTCCCAGTCCCTCCCAGTCCCTACTGGTGCGGGAGGAAAACTGGGACAATAAACGGGGGGTGGCGGATCCCAAAAATCACCAAATCCATGGATAAATAATGGGGTGTAATAATGACCCTTCTGGAACCCACCGGGATCCCCCAGTCCCTCCCAGTTCCTCCCAGTCCCTCCCAGTCCCTACTGGTGCGGGAGGAAAGCCGGGACAATAAACGGGGGGCGGCGGATCCCGAAAAATCACCGGAGCTGGATGCCATGAATGCAACCATGGATCTCATTGATCCATCCCTGGATCCCACAAATCCATCCATTGATCCCATGAATCCATCTGTGGATCTCATTAATCTATCCCTGGATCCCACAAATGCATCCATTGATCCTACAAATCCATCTGTGGGATCTCACAATCCATCCCTGGGATCTCACAATCCATCCACTGATCCCACAAATCCATCCCTGGATCCCACAAATCCATCCATTGATCCCACAAATCCATTCACTGATCCCATGAATCCAGCTGTGGATCTCGTTAATCCATTTATTGATCCCGCAAATCCATCCCTGGATCCCCCAAATCCATCCCTGGATCCCCCCAAATCCCTCCCCGGCCCGTGGGCTCCTCAGGGCCGTTCCCGGCTCCGTGTCCCTCGGGATCATTCCCGCCGGGATGGGCTTTGGGAGCGGGTGAGGAGCAGCAGGAGCCGCTCCGGCGTCTCCGGCGGCAGCAGCAGCAACAGCCTGGGGGGCACCGGGGGGGCACGTGGGTCCCTCCGGCCCCAAATCCCCCCCAAATCCACCCTAAATCCACCCAAATCCACCCTAAACCCCATCAAATCCCACCAAATCCGCCCAAATCCACCCTAAATCCCATCAAATCCCACCAAATCCACCCCAAATCCCCCCCCCACCCCCCCCC